TTTTTAAGCTAATTTTTTTTAAACCACTTTTGTCAAAAAAAGCATATTTTTGACCCAAAATCAAAAACGCATTCTGGATATTTAAAATAAAGACAAGTTTTACAAAGTTTGTATAATAAGCTTTCAGAAAATATATAACATGTTGGATATATAATACCATCTTCATTGTCTAATTACTCAATTAAAAAGCAAGCCAAATAAACTGCATCTCTACCTTAAATAATATTTTTTTCAACAAAATTGATAATGGTCTATCCATAGTAACATGTAAATGGAACAAGAAGCAGTACAGTCTCAGTGAAAGGATATGTAGACACCAGATACCAGCTTCGAAACCCGTTGATAATGTAGACGCGCGCGTCAGTACGCTACAATCGCAATCACCGATCTAAAACAATATCAGCTCCAGGCTCTTTACGAAAGCGCCCTCTAAGTGAGGGACAACAACTTATATATAAAGCCAAGTATTTAAGGTCAGTGTGATCTCGTGTGAATTTAGTATGGCATTTTATTTGAACTTTCTGGACACTGGATGGTTTCATAATCATTCATTTTAATTCACATTTGTCACAAGGATGAATCAATTATTGAATAGGGATTTGTGTGTATCGTAGGTTTATTTATATATAAATATAACATACTTTTGGTGCAAATATATCTATAGTTATTTGAGTAATATTAATACAACTATTGAACACAATATCAAAACTCAACAATGTCTAGTAAATTTTACATACATTATTAAAAAAGGAGTTCACCATTTCGTGCAAATTTGAGGGTCTTTTATTATTTGGAACGTAATTGTCGAGGAAAAAAAACCGCCCTGTAAAATCTGCCCAATGAACCAAAACAAAACAAACACACACTAAAAACCAAGGACGACAAGTTATCAAGCAATTATTAAGCTCCTTGGTTTGACAATGGAGGTACACATGTTCGATGGTTTTGGTTGGCCAAGTTCCTTTCGTATCCGTCTTTTTTCACTGCTGAAATTTCACACGTGTGTGTTATTTACATAATACAGTACCACTTGTTGATTGTGGCAGGAGTGCAAGGGCGCCCTCATCGTCTTTCTTCGTACTATGAGCATGCACCATTGATGCAGTCCTACTATACCTGTCTATGCATGCACGAAGCACAACCGAATATTGCACTGTTTTATATATATTCATATTTCCAGTAGAAATAATATTTGATGACAAATCATGTTATCAAATCACATGACCATGACAGCTAATCGAGGGGAGGCAAGGGGGGTAGCTGGTACGGTTTTACGGGAAATAAAAAGGGCTTTTCACAATTTACGAAGAAAAAAAAGACGTTTTTACAGTTTACAGTGTTAACAAATGGAACATTGAATGGTCCGAAGAGCTCTCCGACTCAAATCCTCCACCATTGCTGCGCCGTGTGAAGAGACGCATGCGCATATTACCCTCGTAATGCTCTTCTTTTGGTTAGAGGGCCTTTTACGTCTTGACACTCAATTTTATAGTGAATTGTGTCATCTAGTCGTTTTACAGTTTCTAAAATGTAATTTCCCTGGATTATTCTTTACGATTTTTTTATTTGGATGTGATTTTTTGTACGTACGAGAAAAATGACACATTTTTACAGTGTACGAAAAAAATATTTGATTGATTACGTCGTACGTCTAGCCTGTGATTACAGAATTACGGAATTTATTTTTTCTATTTACGTTGTACGAACAAAAAAATATTGCAATTACGTTGAACGAAAATAACCCTTGCCCCCCTCCTAATCGGATTCTTGCTAAAAATAAAGATTTTTTTTTACAAGAGAAATTTAATTTTGAAATGATATTATTTCACCAAACAAATAATGAGTGTGGCATTGGATAACTGATCATAGGTGTTTCGTCAGTCTACCATTATAACATAAATTCTGAAATTTAATTTATGACAACTCTATCAAGTAGCGCCACTAACGACGTACCAAAGAAAATAACCCATGAAGCATTGCGTGATATTTCGCTCTTATTTCACTCGCAGTTCGCTGGATCACCTGTGTTATCGTCGTTGTAGTTCATGGACGTTTTGAACAATATTGTGAAAATATGCAGTTAAATTAGTCAAATGGCTTGCTTTTACATCGAAGGGGACTCGTGGTTTGTGTGATGTTCACAAGACAGACCAAAAGTTAACTGAAGGACCGCGGAGGGGATTCGTAGCGGTTTTCAAATTACGTTGACCGGGCTAGTAGCGAGTTGACCGTCGACGTTGAGATAGGAAGACAGTTTTGCTTGTCGTTTCTAGCGAACACGATAGTAAAGATGTCTGCCGATGACACGAGTGTCCGTGTGGCAACGAGGTAGGTAACCGATAACTACAGTTTGTATCTCACAGACGTAAGATTTGACATGTGCCGATCGTTGAGTGCAAGAGAGCTGGTGATTTGTGTCAACGCAGCTCCAGGTTGGATGTTCAAAGATTGCCGGTGTGTGGATGATATTGTCGTGTCACTGAAAATGATTAATATTCGAGTACTAGCTATAACGACCATTCGTTTTATATTTCCCCATTACCCGGCAAGCGTAATATTGTCCATTTTACAGCGACTCAGACGTTTATAATATTAATAATTTCGAAAGGGAGAAAATTACGTCACAGAACCGTCGCTTACTCATATCCGATTCATTGATTTTTTTGTTGCATTAATTTTATTCGGAAATGCTGCCATGTACACAGCACGACTATGAAAGTAGTATAATCGAAATTACAGATTCAGATTGTGTGTCTCAGTTATCATTCGTATTCGTTTCTTGTGCGTTCTCGAGTCGAACAATGAGATAACGGGAGTAGCAAACTGGCTATCACTGTCATCTTGTCCCAAGACCAGCTCTTGCAGGCTTGCATGTAACTAAGCCTGTATTGAAAAAACTAAATTAATTAAGTCAAGGACCCCAACTTGGTACACTTGGTTTACATTTTGTATGTAGTTAATTTGATTAATTTACATATAACAGTTCACAACAAATACACTGGGTGTGAAATTTTCCGCCTTGTCAAGCATTTATTCCATTCTCTTTAGTTGAATTACATTTATGCTGTACCTGCACTGTCATTGGTGTTGACAAACACTGTTGATTGTTCCGAGTATTGTCATATGTCACCAGTTGAGTGACAGCTCTGTTGTAGTTTTCACACTGTCCTTTGTCAGTGATTAACTGTGAACTCAATTCAGGTCAATTTCATCAAGGCTCAATAGTGTGAAAAAACAAACAAAAAGCGATCACATGTCTAAGATCACTTTGGTGATATTTTTATTTATTTTATTCAAGTGACCTAGTTAAATCAATCGTAAACTAGCAAGAGCTGATGTAGTTGTAAAAAAGGGTGGGTGAGGTTCTTTTATCCTTTGTTTTTTATGTTACACTGGGTTTTTTAACAGCAGATTCTTCCACTGTCCAGATAGATCAAAACAAGTTGAAAGTTGCTAGGAATGAACACAGTAGACTATAATTTATGTGTGCATGTTTATACGACCAGGCTGATAAATTGTAATCAGTGTCGAAAGATGCAACACCATCGTGACTGAACGAAGGCCAGAGTTTGTGTGTGTGACGAACCTGGTAAATCATATCTCCATAATCACAAGAAACTACCTGTTATAAGAATACGATATAGGGATTTTACAGGATAAACGATATTATACTAAAGAAATCAATGAATTTTAACTCTAAATCTGATATCATATATATATATATATATGTATCAGCCTCAGATCTTCTCGCTTTCTCATGTCACTATAATGTGGTAGATGTTTCTGGCAGCTAGAAAATTATTGTTACAAGTTTCTCATTTTCAAAAGTTCATAAATCTCTGAAAAATTATTTGATCATGCGGATTGAAAAACTAGCATGTGAATATCAACTCATAGCATTTTAAATGCTCATGAAGTTTTATGAAGCCAGGATCCTGCCTGTGTTCACTGAGCTCTATTACTATCAAAACCATGGTAAAGACTGGCACTGGTAATTTGATAGTTTCTATAAATCATATAACATGTGAGAGATTACCATTGTGTACTGTCTGCAATTGAAGTTGTAAAATTATATGGGTAGCTTTACTGTTTGTAGTTTTGCTATGATGAGTGTTTATGTTTGTGACATAATCGTTTTTTTGTTTGTTTATCACTTCCTTTCTGTATGTTTATATTGTTATATTTTTGGGCCAAGCAGATATAGGTTCTCAAAGCAATACAATACAAGTCTACCAGTATTATTCAATTTTGAGTTGACTCAGAGATAAACCAAGAGAAATGATGTCGTTTACCTTAATTTCACTTGTAGAATATTTTGGAACAGATGATAGATGCTATGTTACAATTATTTAAAGTAGTTTTAAAAATTTTGTTTGTCTGATCTTGGAGGTACCTCATGGTCTGATTTATCACGTTGTCTGTTTTGCACAGTTTTGCTGAAACCATCCTTCCATGGCATCCCTAAAAGTCTGTTCGTAATCAGGTTAGGAAAAGTCCCTGTTTTGAAGCTGTTTGACCTCTGTTAAACTGAATGGTTTGATTGAGGATGCCAAGGAGCTGAATTCCATCAATCAGAGTTCCTGTAACGACAACTTCCATCCATTTTAAATATAAACCAATAGATTTTGTCCTCTTATATAATTTAATACTGTAAAATACTTTATTTTCACTTGAAATTAATTTTTGCTATTTTCGTCGAAGGAATGATTCAGTAAAAATGTGAAAATAAAATCCAGCGAATATTTTTTTTTTTCATATATTTTACTAGTCAAAAATCAGTGAAAATAAAATCCATACAAAACACTCAAAAAGTCTTTTCAGTGAAAATTAATTCCAGCTAAAATAAAGTATATCACAGTAGTTTAACCGCCAAAAACATGTGACTTCACGTTTGATTTCCCATGGAAACGAGTCACGACACTTGATGAAAGATGCATTTATCATGAATAATATTCTAGAAATGAAACTATAGACATACAGATTCAGTTGTAGTCTGAAGTCCTGAGTCCCTCCCCCTCCCCCTCCCCCTTCTAATACAGTAATGTAGTATGTATAAAGACCAGGAGTCAGTGACACTGTTTTGCAGCGTTTCTTAGATTGATAAATATTTACTTGAGTAACAACTTTCTAAATGCCATCTGTACTTTGATACCCAAGTATGTGGCGAACTTTCTAGCAATACTGAGATCAGCTTTCTAGTTGACACCTGTCATTTTGTAAGCCCCCGATTTAATATCAAATTAAGATTCTTTGTATTGGCTCACTATAAAAAGTAAAGGTCACACCATGTATAAAATAAGGATGGCTTTCTCACAAAGTGAAACAAATTCAGCTTCTTGATTTTTTTCTTTTTTCTTCAGCCCCATGATACAACTTTTTCACTGACCTAGCCTTATTACTGTGCAGTTGTTTGTGGCATGCAGTGACTTCTATCATCTGAACTCACCCCTGTTTTGATTGGTGCTAGTTGTCACGTACATCACTGTATTTAGGTTACGGGTAATCTTGCTTGTCAAATATTTGATAAGATATTGGAGAATGTGAATATATGTATCCAGTGTGACACGCCCATGCTTTCAATGACATGGGTTCCATTGATACTACACATCGTTGTTGTCATTTATTATCACTTGTTTGTATTCTCTGCAAGACGTATAGTTCTATTGCATTTAATACTAATTAATTATTCAATAGGAGCATTTACATGTGATGGAATATTCAAACAAATGAACATCTGCATGCATTAGTAGACCCCACCCTAAAAATCTGTCGTTATTGACATAATTGTATTTGGAAACATACATGGGTATTTCCTGGGTAGCCGATTTACTTTCATACATTAAAATATGATAGTTGCTAACTAAATGTATTAAACAAAAAAAAAGACATTTCCAATTCCATTGAATATTTACTTACCGGTATGTTTACATGTTTGTAGGACAAGAAATATAATTCTAATCAGATAATAATGCAATTTTCTAGTTGTACAGAATAGTTTTCAATCACATGGGCATGGCTCACCCATGTTCACGGTAAAAAAAAAAAATGAAATTTGAACACTGCGTGTGTATTTTAATATTAATCAATTAACAGCTGATTAGCTTGTGAAAAATAATCTTGTCTGACGCTGCCACTGTTATATTGGTACTGGTGTATGATATACACTGATGAATGCTGAAATCTTTACGCAGGTAATAATATGCAAGACTACAAATCTGTGTCTCAACATACAGTGCTGCAAGGCCTTTTATGTCCTTGCTACATGTATTTTGATGGAGCCTGCCCAATAATACTGGTAATGTGAAATGACTAGGGATATTATTTTAAATCATTCTTATAACAGTTTAATATAAATTATAAACAATATTCATCATGTATAGCTGAGCTGTCACTTAAATTTAAATATAGAATTGGTATAACGTCAATATTTGCTGGTTATTTATCGTACAACAAATCATTCTTCATTATGATTGTATACATGACTTGGTCTTCTATATTCTGTAGGGCCCAGCTTTTTTTTCAATAAAGCCAACATTTATAAAAAAAACACTTTTAATATATTTCTAATAAAATAATTAACTGTTTTGAAGGGCACCAACTCAGTGAGGTTATATTAATTATATAAATTAGTATATTAAATTATATTAAAACTCCACTGATATCATACAGTGTGAACAAATTATTACAATTTCTTTCAAAGTTTTATTGTATTAGGACCATAGAGCCGAATATGAGGGATAAGAAACACTGATGAAAAACAATATACCAGTAGTACATGTAATAGTTTATTTGCATATGATGTTGCTTTGCATACGTTATTAGAGCATCAGGCAGACTACTTTCTAGGGTCTATGATAGGAACCATGACCCTTTTGATTACTCTGCAAAAAAACCAAAACAATAATTCTGAAAATTTAATCCTATTATAAAGTAACTTGACAGTATTAATATTATTTCATCAGTGTAAACAGTGCTATAGTAGATGTTGATTAGTTTATTAATTTAAACTGGATGTTTGTTGACCATATTTTCTTATCTGGTTTTATGAACAGTATACACTGTATAAAAAAGTACATGTGAAATTCTGATGAAATGTTTTTTTAATAGTACCTACAATCATTAATTGGTTTATAAGCGGTTTTAAAAGTTAAGATATAACTGGTAAATTTTATCAACTGCACTGTTTGTAATGCCTGGCACATGACAGATTACCTACCATTTCTTCTATTGTCCTCTTCTAGATTGTTAAATTGTTACTGATTGTTAGTTGAGGCATTAAACGATAAAACAGTGGTCAGTATGTATGTCAGCGTAGTCTCAGAACGCCT